ATGATGGCGATAGTTCTCCGGCGCCGGGCAAGAAGCAGGCGCATGGAGATGATGGATTCATCAATCGGTGCGATCCATCAGCCCCGCGTCGTCGGCGAAAGTCGGATATGGGGAACTGCACCTATGACTCCTCTAGTCGGCCACTACAAATCCAGGAGGTAGGGAGCACTAGAGTGCCACTGTTAGCCGCTGCGCTTTACTACTGAATGCCTTCCCCAGGCATGCGCAAGGATGAATGGAGGGCGGGCGAATATCCTCTGGCGCCTTATCTTGGCTTGGTTGGAAACCAACAAACCAGGATCAGCGCTCGTCGAACGTTGGCACACGTTGGACTCACTAGGTAAGTTAGCTGGGTAATGAAAAGGCGGCTGCAGTTCGGAGATCTGTCTGTACCACCAACGCCTGCCGATCTGGACGCTGGCGAGCATTCCAGTGCGTTCCGTGCCTTGCACCACCACGGCTTACATTATATCTGACAGGTGATGGGATTCCTTCCATTCTTCCTAGCACTGATAAGAGCAGCACTACTACCTAAGGTACCGCGCCGACCACTGCCACACACACACTTGCACGCCACGAGACACTGGAGATACGTTAGGTCGGTGCCCGGGATGCCGGTACATGTGTGTACACCGTCCCGTCAAAATAGAAAGAAAGGGGGGCCGTACTTTGTACTCTACTGCGGGCCTCTTCGTCCATACCTTAGCCTCCAGTTTGCGCGGTGCCCTACTCCGGTGTGGATGAAAGGCAGAGATCCCCAACTGTTTACGAGCCGGCCTGCGTCATGCATGGCAACTCGATAGCCATACCCTCCTCGCATCTCCCTTTCCGGACCAGCGGGGGGCTTGGAGCATGTGAATGCAAAATGTGTCTGGGCACATGGTCAGGAGGCGAGCAGACGAGTGAGTGAGTGTGAGGGGGTGGTCGTAGCAGCGCAGGCCAATACACACAGCTGGGACGAGGTAGCTGGTACCCACTCCCGGTTGCCAGTTTGGGGCAATTAGTGGCTGCCCGGCGGAGGTACCTGGCCGTACCTCTGACTTACTCGTATCTCACACTCCTTCCCCAATCCGGCAGCGGCCTCTGCGTTGGTCTGCGCTGGGCTGATGGATGACTGTTATTACAGCACCATGGTCCGGCCTTCGCAAACTCCTTTCCCTCCCCTTCTCTTCTCATCAACAATACAAGCAACAAAGAAACCCAAACCGCACGATTCGAAGTGAAGAATCACTCGTCACAGTCACGATCATCGCGTCAGCTCTGCCAGACTGCACCCAGATTGCTTAGTCTTGCCCATCCACCCCGGCTCCATCTCTGACTCCCGAACTGTTTGGTACGTACCTACCCTCTGTTTATCAACTCCTGACCAGGATGCTTTTTCGACGTGACTCTTTGGCGGTGTCGGGTCGCTCGCTCGATGTTCGTGCCGGAGATCTTTTAAATACACCGGATCTGCGCGTTGTCGATGCATTTCCTTCCTCTCTGGTTGATCTACAGCATTCTCCAGCATCTTGCATATGTACTGACGTCGACTTGCGGGTCCAGATACGTTCCGAGAATCTACAACAACCGGTAACCATGGCTACCTTGGCATCAGCTGCTCGCGATATCCCCCAGGCCTCCTTGACCCGAGACAACTTAGCTGTTGTAGCGGATCGGAGCACCTACGGGACTGTGGCACGACCTTTGGACCTCCCTACCCCCCCAAACTCCATATCCCCAGCCCTGCCGGCTCATGGCCTCAAGGCGCAACTCCACAAGGCCAAGCTCGAGCCTATCGACTCTGATCTAGACCTGCGCGAGTCGTCCAGCGACCATCAGAGATCGGTATCGCCAGCGCTCGAGGCCTCGGGCGCCATTACCTGTGGCTTACTCGCGAAATATCACCTGCCAGAAATTTTGCTGAACCACGGGCCACTGGCCATTCGTCACATAATGGGATACCTCACAACATCCGTTCCTGGATTTTCTGGTATCGCTCCAGCGAAAGCACGAAGGCTGGTCGTCGGCGCGCTCGAGGGCCGAGGCGGTGATGGGGGCGGTGTGGAGGGCGAGGTCGAATTTGAAAAAGTTGGCTGGGGTCGGTGGGACGCGCGCCGTCGAGGTACCATGTCTCGCGACCGCCAGTTGTTGTCGCCCACTGAGTCCGCTTTCCCCGAAGGCATCCCTATCGCCTCGACCGGAGCTGGCAGGGGAGATGGCAGGCTCAAGGCCAACATGTCTCGATCGAGCGAACCTGATTCATTACGGTTCTCTCACGACGCTACCCACTTCGAGGATGAAGCTGACAAAATGTCTTTGGACGGATCCGCGTCCGCTTCATGCTCCGAGGCTCCAGATGATGATGATATCATGATGAACGACGACCCTGAGGATGTTACTGATGACGAAGACTGGGCCACGATGGGCGCGGCCGCTCTTCGTGCCGAGTCGTACCCCAATATGGCTGCAGCTCAGATGGACGGCAACCCTGCTGTGTTCCCTCCCGGCGGGCTGCGACCATTCTCTGTCGCTACTGGTATGGCTCGTGCTCCACAACCAACAACTCTCAACATGACGGCTTTCGCTGGCGCTTCCGATGCGCAGGAGCGCGAAGCTGTTGAGGCTCTTCTCCGCCTCGGTTCTGTATAATACTTTTCATGCATGCGTGGCGTTTACGGCGAACTTGGATCTTATTATTGGGGAGCGATTGTTGAATTGGCTGGCCCATAAAAAGCATATCGATGGCCAAGTCTTGAGGCGGCGACCTCCGGAGCATCTTTCCTCACCATTTCACTTTCTTATCATTTTATTACTCTTCAACTCTCAACTATTCTTATTTGGAGAATCAGTCCCGGCTTTCGGCTGACTTTCTTTTTGGACCCTCGAGATACCACCTGCCTGGATCACTTTGCTATGGCTTAATACTTGAAGAATCGCGCACAAAGGGGATTTTCATGGCGGTGGGAGGGATTTGCCTATTTTTGGGAGATTTGCTAGGAGCTTATCCTCTCTTTTTTGGTGCTCCCTTGCTAGACAAAGCCAGGCCCCCTGTGTTGGGAATATTTGGCCATCGTTCTGGGAACGATTTGTTGGGCACACATCACGACATCTTGAGCTGCGCTCACCGGCTACCTAACGAGCCGTATCTCCTTGAGACCAAGAAGACTGGTCTCTTCTTTACCCCAACGGAAAAAAAAAATAGCATTCTTGCTGCATGTCGGCGTTTTGGAAGATAATTACTTTTATACCATTTACCATGGTCATTCGCACCTCTAATCTGCAATTACGAACATCTCTTCAACATCAATTGCGATAGAGGAGACGCGAAACAATACGAAAAACATACTTTATAAACTACCCCAGCAGTCCCCCTGCCTTCAGTGGATGTGTCGCAAAATGACACCTTCTGTTGTGGGAGGCACACAAAGACTTGGAATAAAGAGGGATTCAGATCCCTAGTGAACGGCCCAGTGGCTATCTTCTGGAGCCGAGGATAACGGTCTGCCAATGAGACGCAAACAAGGTAGACAAGACAGGACACCCGCTGCGAGCATCAACGGGTCATCTGCCTCGTGAGGGTGTCGATGGCAAACGATTTGTTACATGCGCCAAGCTTTCATCAATAGCAATGGAGGACCGTTAGTAGCACTCCCGCAGCGTTAGCAATTGATCGTTTAATGTACCACCAAGTGTGTTCCGTGATGTGATGTGATCTGCTTGTATGATGTGCTTGTGGCGAATGAGGATGAGTGTGTCATGACATGAAAGGCCGGGTGTGTGGTTGAGGGCATCGGGATGTAACGTGCCCCAAGCGTCACCGTCCTCGACCGAAGATGAGGTTCTTGTCAGTTACACCCAAGTGTTTTGATGAACATCATGAGTGTAGTAGAGTCAGGTTGACAAGTAGGTTGCACAATCTGAGGGGCATTTGCTGCAGATTTGACCAAACGGAGCAGAAGTTTTATGGCAGAAGTTGGCACGATGTTGTTTCTACAAACATTGTATTTCTAGTGTGGAATAAACAAACAGGCGGCCTGATACTGTTGATAGAGGCGCGGCATTTGATAACTGTCAAAAGACGCGCATTATCTCCCTACCTGTCACACTCACACGAGATGTTGTATGAATGCTGAACCGATTAGCGTCAGGCGATGGCAACCTCCGAGGCGGCCGACTGGCAGGCATCGGCCAATCAGGCTAACCGACATTGGGAGATTTCATCTCTGGGCAAGTGCTTATTCGAGTGTGGTATAACGTCACTGTTGCCACGCGTTGCCAATAACCTTAGAAGAGGCGATGCGATCTTGGCATTCCTCGCCCCTTATCTGGGGACTCGTTCCTTGTGGGGAGAGAAGGGCCTTGGCGAGCGGAAAGCTTGATTATGTTCTTGGCGCTTGGCGTTTGCTTGAATCGACGGTGGGGACGCTTTTCGCTGCGAGCGCGCTCTTGATGGGTCACAAGGGACCGCCAACTCGGGGGATGGAGGGTGGCCTCGAGTCAATACTGACCTCTGGCGAGTGGCCATCCCGATTCAGGCTATTTGCCTATTATTGATCGCGCCGCCGTCGCTTCGCGTAGTCTGGACTGGCAGGAACGCGAACCCTCGAAGAGTGTGTTGGACCTTTCAGCTACCTACCTGTTCAGACCTTTTTCGGGTCCGGTCTGTTAAGGCTGGGGATTCGCGGAGGCCCCGGCCCGCCCTTTTGCGTCTTATTCATTTTCTAGATGGGGACGAAGAGGAGACAGAAAAGACAATAATGCCATGTATGGCGGAAATAGCCCCCGGCAGCACGTCGGTGATTGGCGTCGCTGGCTGTCGTCATTCAGCGCGGGGTTCTTGAAAGTTCTCTCCTGCTGGAGAAGGGGAAAAGAGAAAACGTAATGTGAACCATAGTTGTGGGTGCGGTTCGATTGGATTGTGATGAACCAGCCTATCGACGAACCCAGTCACACAGCATATCACACAGCGGCGTAGCACAGCCATGATGGAAGGAGCCCGCGGACAGTGTCGTGGATAGTTGGTCCAGGGTCCGCGATACTGTACGGACTACGTTAAGGTACCTGCTGACCCGAAAAGCTTAGCAGCGGCTGGAGCAGAGCGAGCGAACGAGAGAGAGCGTGCGTGCGTGTGTGCCAATGCTGAAAAGTGCAAAGGAGCCGATAGGTGGTGCACAGTATTCGGGTGGCCGCCCAAGCGTACAGCAAGGCCAATGACAGCCTTGCGAAGAGGGGCAATGCCAAGCCTGCCAAGGCTTGGCATATCTTGGCAGGCTCATATTTGCCTGACGGGGTGGTGTGCTTCTGTTAGTGTGGTACGGCGTCATTGTATGGTCGGCCGCCCCGGCGCAAAAGTCTCTTTTATGGCGCAGAACCTATTTCTCAGCGCCAAGAGCTGCCAAGGCCCGCCAAGTCCCGCCAAGACTTCCAAGAGTCCCGCTCACCCTTTCGCTCTTGCCCAAGCTGTTCGTGTAAATGTAAAGGGCGAAGAAGGTCCCCCCGGGCCTCCGTCGACGTTGTTTCTTCCTCGTCTCGTTGCCCATTTCTCTCATCCGGAGAACTCAAGGATTTCCCAGTCTCAGGGTGTTTCGCGGTATTTGTGATCCGTGATTTGCCATCTCACAGCGCCCTCGGTGTCATTTGCCTCGCTTAGGCCACCAGCTTTCTGTGCCGAATCGCGCACTCGCCCAATACTCACCAAGCCGTATCTGCAACAACCCGTCAGGCTCCGGCCAGACTTTCGCGCATCATGACTCCTCCCCTTCCAGAGGTTCAGCCTCAAACGTCGTCGGGATCCAGCAATAACAGCAATGATTCCAAGTCGGCCACTCCTCCGCCATCAAGTACTGCTTCTACTACTTCTGCCCCTCCTTCGACCTCGGCCGACGACAGCTTGATCTGCCGCTGGAATGCCTGCGGCCAGAAGTTTCCTACGCCAGAGAACCTCTATGTAAGCCGCCCGCCTCTCTCTTATCTCCGGTTACATCTGCACCTTAATTTTGAGCATGTTATTCGCCGGCTGCTCTTGTTTTAAGTTGCAATGACGTACCGAGCTGCCATGGTCACACTCGGAGTTATGCCGACTAACACGATCCCTTGTATAGGACCACATCTGTGAGCGCCATGTTGGTCGCAAGAGCACAAACAACCTGAATCTCACATGCCACTGGAACTCGTGTCGCACAACCACTGTGAAGCGCGACCACATTACTTCGCATATCCGTGTTCATGTTCCCCTCAAGCCTCACAAGTGCGAGTTCTGTGGCAAGTCGTTCAAGCGCCCCCAAGACCTGAAGAAGCACGTCAAGGTAGGTTCACCCTGCATATCGCACGGCTAAGCGTGTTTTGGATAAAGTTACTGATGCGAGAACCCGCAGACTCATGCCGACGACTCTGTTTTGGTCCGTTCCGCCCAGGACGCTCCACAGCCTCAGCAGGGTGGTATCAACTACCGGCCCCATATGAACAAGCGTACGTCACGACGTTTGAGATGCGTGAAACGTAAATACTGACATCCCCCCTTTTAGCTCCCGGCTACTATGATCACAATGGCCAGATGCGACCTAATTATCAGCATCAGCCGCATCCTAGCAGCTACTACGCTCCCCAGCCTTCTACCAACTATGGACTGTACTTCAACCAGCCCACAATGAACAACCAGCGTACCGAGCATCTTGGATATACCGCTGCTGGCCAACCCCCTGCGTTTGACCGCAAGCGCGCCTATGACATGGTTGATGACTTTTTCAACAGCGCCAAGCGCCGCGAGATCGACACCTCTTCTTACAGCCAAATTGGTCGTTCTCTCCTCCCTCTTCATAACAGTCTTTCTATTCCCAGCGGCCCAATGGCTGCTGCTCCTGAGAGTTATTTGCCCCAGCCAGCCGGCCCAGCCATGGCGCAAGCTGGTCCTTCGCCATCCCAGAACCCTTTGGCTCAGCAGTACTATCTTCCCATTACACCCAATGCCCGAACCCAGAAGGATCTGGTCCAGATCGACAATCTTCTTGGACAGATGCAGAACACTATTTATGAGAATGCTAGCCATGCTACTGCTGGTGTCCACATTCACCACGGCAGCGAGCATTTCGGTGGTTTCCGCCATAGCCCTTCGCCCCCTACGATGCAGCGAAGCCCCACGGCCGGCGGCATGCATGTCGGCCCCGAGGCCTATCATCCTGTCTCGGCGGCAAGCATGGCTTCTCCGCTAACCGCCATCTCTTCCACCGGAACGCCCGCCGTCACGCCTCCCTCGAGCTCAATGTCTTACACCTCCGGGCACTCACCTAGCCCCTCGGCCTCTGATCTGTCCCCCCAATCTCGCCACAGCTCTACGTCCTCTGTCATGTACCCGACTCTCCCAACTAGCTTGCCCGCAGTAAGCCAGGGCTTTGGCCAGTCAACAACCACAACTCTTGGGCCCAGCTTCGAGAGCAACGAGCGCCGCCGCTACTCTGGTGGTATGCTTCAACGCGCACGTGCTCCCCCGCCCCGATCTGTTGATGACAACAATGGTGCGACGACTCCCAAGGCCAGCGAGCCTGCCGTTTCCGTCGGATCTCCGTCGTCGGAATCGGAGGGCAGCGAGGCTACCCGCGAGAGGGAGGAGCAGTACGACCGCTGGCTCGAGAACATGCGTGTTATCGAAAGCCTGCGTGAATATGTCAAGGGTCGTCTGGCACGAAAGGAGTATGTCGAGGAAGAGGAGATCCGGCCACGAGATGCGGATGCCATGGATGTTGACGTTAGGAGCCCCAAGACGTCTCTCCGAGAACCCAGCCACCCCAAGGAGGGATCTTCGCTCTACCCCATCCTTCGTATGCCAGGTGCATAAAGGGGGGTATTGTGATTTGATGAATTTTTTACCATGTATAAACATCAAGCCGGGGTTCATGGACAAAATGTTGAGGGTTCATGTGATGAAATGGCCCATGATCGTTTCTTTTTTTCTTTTTACGTATATAGTGACGTGATATTTTGTTGCAAGCTGGACATAGGAATTAGTACCACGAAGTTTGATGGGGGAACTTTTAAGGGAATATTGATCACTTATCTTGATTTGTGAAGCAAAAGGTCTTGGAAATGATGGAAATGTCAGTTATTACACTGGAAATGCGAACAATTTACACATGTGACTTTGATGAACATAGAGAGTGACATCAGATTAAGAAGATATATCGACTTGTTGATTAGGAGGCGGCTGGCCCTTGTAGGTGCAGTAACTTCCTTACGAGTGTTAGCCATCAGACACTGGCACAAGTTGAAGGATACTGGGCATGGGTTGACCCTGGTATACACAGATAAGAAAGATGTGGTCGACAGAGGGGTCAGTATTATACGTGGGCATCGTGCTTGATCCTCAGCCTCATTCTGCTACCTCGCAACATGATCGACCCTCGCCCCTCAATTAACGTTATTTCTGGTTATACAAACGTGTCTTCCTCTAGATCAATTACCTGGCTGCTGTCAATATTGAACCCCGTGTCCCAATGAGGATACTTGTCAGTAAAGGTATCGTCAAACCATACATCCCCGTCCTTGTCACCGCATGATTTGACCTCTATCTTCCCCAGGATTGCTCGATAGGTCACATGGCCGCTGGTGGCCGAAAAGCCTGCAAGAATCTCCAGGCATGATGATTGGATGTTTTTGAGGTCTGTTTCAGTAAAGATTCGTGAGAAGGATTGGATCATCCCGTGGCCTTGGCCGATGTCTGCGCCGAGGTTCTCCTCGAAAGTGGCGAGAGCCTCTGAATTTGATTCACGCTGTATGAAGATGAAATGATGCGCGTCGCAACCAAAGGCATGGTGGAATTCAAAGAGCTTGAATGTTCGCTGCGGCTGACGATGGGGTTGAGATGACTCTGAAATGCCTGTCAAGTGGTGAGCATTGGATGGCGCACTCGCGGCCGAGAGACATACCATTCTCGGATGGAGTCTTATGAGCCTCGCTGGAAGAACTCTGGTGTTGTTTGGAATCCATTTCGGAAGCTGAGCAGTAGTAGTTAGGCAAATGTGTGGCCGACTTGGTGGAAACATTACGATTTATATATTTCTGGCTTGAAAACGGATTAGGCGTGCCATTTATTATCACTGATGCGCTTACTGGTTCCGTCAGCGCGCGCTGTTGCCTGCTGTTGTTGGTACCTCCCAGTTGGGGAGCATTGGACGACGCAGATGGCCTCTCATTCAAAACGGCTCACTATGATAGAAATGGACAGTACTGAGTTGTTGTGGCTCGAAAAACATGGGAATTTCACAATAAACTTTGTTGGGTTCACAAAGCGATATCATATACCTTTTAAGCTAAATAAATTTCCGCCTTTGATTTCATCTTGTTTACATCTAAATGATCACCAATACTAGTGAAGGATCGATGTATCTGCTTGAACGTCATCTCGGAAACTTGTAAAAAAGCGAGGCCATCGAGACACTGAAGCTATTCTTGTTTGCCCTTTGAAAGATGAATTAGAAAGAACGTGCTCCGGACAATGCGAATGTGCCATTTTATCATTTTCCAGCTAGGGAAAGTGATTAAGCGCATGCACATTTCTTGCCATGTGTGCTGCTGTTCTTGGGTTGTTGATCCTGTTGGCAAAGGTCCTCCATGATCCAGGCGGATCGCGTACTTCACAGCAAAAAGCGGGAATAAGGTTAGTCCCTGAACGATCTCTGGGAAACATTTCAGTCATCGCCACTCCCAAATGACGGAAGGGAGAAAAAGGAAATGTCGCCATCAGTGAACGGTGTTCTTGTATCTGCCGTTTGATTTTGCGTTCTTCTGCTGTTTCATCATTCGGACTTTCGGCTGCTTTCCCAATTCTCCCTAGTCACCGACGGTATTAAAAAGGCAAGGGATAAAATTAGGGCAATCTAATAATCCTCAGATATTGACAACACACTATCGTCGAGGTCTGGTCATCACGTTGCTCGAAAGACGCTCGATAGCCTCAACGCAGCCCCTTCCTGGCCCGAGAACGCGGGATTCGGCCATAGCCATCTCGTGAATGAGGATCGACTTGGCCTGTTGCCAAAAGAAGCTCGATAGTCTCGAAATCGCCCCCTTCAGCAGCGAAAGAAAGCGGTGTTCGGCCATAGTTATCTCTCGAGTCAGGGTCAGCTTGGCCTGTTGCTAAAAGGAGTTTGGTAGCCTCAGTTCGGCGCCCTCTCACCGCTAAAGAAAGCGGGGATCTACCATATTCATCCTTTAAACTAGGATCGACTTGACCTGTCGCTAAAAGAAGCTTGATAGCCTCAGTTTGCCCCCCTACGACAGCCCAAGAAAGCGGGGTTTGGCCACAGTTGTCTCTTAAATCAGGGTTAGCTTGGCCTGTTGCTAAAAGAAGCTTCATTATATCTGTTCTGCCACATTGAGCGACCAGAGAAAGAGGATTTTGGCCTAATGCATTCAAAAATTTGATATCCCCTTTCCCATAATGAAGAAGAACTCTAAGCGCACTCTCGTGGCCCAGAGCGACAGCGTTGTGGATGGCATCGTCTGAGCTGAATTTTCGGTGTGAATGCAGGTCTTCACTGTCTTGCTGAATGGCAGCAACCAAAAACACAGGATCTCCGTACTCTGCAAGATATGATATGAGTGACCTTTTCGAGGACGAAAAATCAAAAGAAGATCCCAGCGACCTTCTAAGTTCGGTTTTCTTGAAGTGGCTGAAATCTATCTCTGGAAAGCACTCAGATGGAATTGATGCAAGAAGTCTATTTCGGACAACCTGAAGGATGTTGTGGCTTTTACGCATGATGGCTGCGAGTAATGGGCACCCACAGGGCTCTGACCGTATTTCAAAGTAGTCCACAACAGACGGGTAAGATGGGAGGAGGCTTGGGGTATCCTTTTCAAACACAATATATAGGCCTCGTGTGTCATCTGGATAAGATTGTTGGCTTTTTTCCTTGTGGAACCGAATCCATTGCTGGTTAGGAAAGATAGAAGCGAAGTCTGGCTGTTGAATTCCGAAGCTTGCTGCTTTATCTGCATGGAACAGGGCATTTTCTGCTGCATATTCCAGAAAAGGGGAAGTCGAGCCAGCTTCTTCGCAGTTTTTTGTCCCTTGGGAGATAATGTCTTCGCCTGTATTCGAAGACAGATACTCAAGGCAGACATCTCTGAGCCGCAAGTGGCTGTTGCCGATTAGATTGCTCCCCAGTTTGGGCCACAGGTTATATAACCTATCTCCTTGGAGAAGAAAATCTTTGACAGACTCATGGATGAATTGAACCGTACACCTAGGGGACCCTATTGTTTCGCTAAGTCCTTTAGAACACTCTATGATAAATATTCGCGAGTCTTCCGCACTCAGGTCTCTGGGTTTCAGATTACTATCCTTGGCTTGTGAAAGGATAGCAAAATGGAGCTCCAAAGGTGTCAGAGGCTTCTGCGCAAAGAGTATGAGCTGGAAGCAAAGAAGCGTCTCTTCTTCATCCCCACTGTCTCGAGACAAAATATCGAAGAAAAGATCGTTCAACGTTTGGGGTATCTCTCGAAGCCTCTGACGCAGAGCATGCATGCGGCCACGCTCTCGGTTCAAAATGCTCACGACAAGAACGGTCCACATGAATACCCCCGAAGCTTTCTCCCGGACCTCGTTTTTGATGTCCTGAGCAAGCTTGCTATCTCCTATCCTTAATTCATAATTAATGTATTCCGCGATATCGGCGTCATGATCCTCTTGTTCATCAAGATTGATTTGAAGCCCGATTCCGTCTCTTAATGTGATATGAGGATAATGACGGCTGGAAAAGAATACGAGAAGCCCAACGCCATTAGCGATAGCTAACTCTCCTAAACGTTCAAAGAAGGCTACCATATCTCGGACCTCATCGTCTTTGCATTCATCAAGGGCATCGATAAAGCATACCACAGATGAGGTGAGACGCTCAATTGCTTCCTCAATGAGCTCTTTTAGCAACTCATTTGTCCATTCTAGCCGGGACTCATGACTAAAATGCCCGAGATGCCTTCTAGGGTTAAGGATAAATTTTAGTTTGGGGTCATGTTTGAGAATCTGATATAGGATCGATCGATAGAGCCCGGCCGTTGATTTTTCCAATGCATGACCCCGTGCGTGGAAGAAGAAACTAAGAATTGCTCGATCTTGTTTCTTCTTCAAGCTACTTTCAAGAATGAACTTCATCATTGTCGACTTTCCAGACCCAGGTTTCCCCTTTAACCATAAAAAGCCTCCGTGCTGTCGAATCTTCCCCGGGTCGATCCAATCAGAATATTTGTTAGTGCCCAGCAGCCACTTGCAGGTCTTGAGATGCGCTCTTTTTATATGTTGGCGTCGATCATCCATGTGATCAAATTTTAACGAATCATACAACTTCTCCAGCTTTTGACTTAATTTCTTGTCTGAATGTGGTTCTCTATCCAGTTCTGCACAAATTAGATGGGTGCAATGTTTGGGGGTGAGTTACTCACCAACAAATGCAGGGGTGCCAACCTCCGGGTTCGGATGCGGAGCAGGCGGCATGCTCAAAAGAAGTTCCTTGGCAAATGCTGCCGCAGTGGTTGCTGCATACTCTTGCCACTCTTTGCTTTTGTGCGAGTCACAGTAGTCACAAATTCCTCGAATGACAAGGCATGGAAAGTGGTCGATCAAGCCCGCGGCCTCCATCTCAAAGCATAAACAACCCTTTTTTGCCCAGGTATCTCTTGATTCAGCATGTTTAATGACCCTATTCCCGGAGGCAATTGTTCCGTAATGTATTTGGGGCGCTGTACTTGCTCGGGGGAGACGCTGGATAAGCCTTGACTGATCGCATTGGTCACAGTTCTCTTTGCTCGGCACATGTTCATAAGTGCTGTCAAACAGACGATCGGGACAGTGAACGGGATTCTGATAATGTTTCATTCCTGGGACGTGGCTGTATACGTCTCGAAGAATGGCTGAGATCTGTGATTGTTCATATTCGTGGCATCCTCGCAACTCAGAGACGGCTGTCAGCATCTCTGGGGGAGGTTTGACTGGACTACTTGTACAGTGGAATTCGCCTCCCTGGGTTGTCTTCCCTAGATCATACTGCAGAACGTCATGGCCAACAACTATATCGCCGAGACGGATATCAATGTTGGGAATGTTTGGGACGCCGCCTCCGATCCCGACCATGAGCCTGAATACGATCTGTGGGAAACTCCTGGCCAGATTGTTTGCTACCACTGCCGCATTAACAGTACCGTAGTGCCCCGAAGGTAAACAAGTGATAACAATATTGTGCTGCCTAATATTTCCAAAGCTATAGGAGTTTGTATCACCAGGGAGGCGTGGAAGGCCTTCGTGTCTATCGTCGAGCATCACCGTGGCGGCAGCACGTTCCTTGGGCAGAGCGCAGATCCAAGCTACAGTGTAATCTGCATAGCTGAGCTTGCTCCTGAGCGAGCTGGTGCTGCTGGCTCCGATGGCGCTGGGAATACCATCAGTCCAGTATCTGGAGTTATTCCGCCCTTGTTCAAACCCCGCATCGTCGTCCTTTTCTCCGGGCCTCTTGTAGCAAGCCTCGGTAGTAATGTGCATATTATTCATGACGAAGACATATATAAGCGTCTGAGAACAGGCTCTTGGGGCGGCAGCCTGGGCTTGATTACTCGGAGATGAGAGAATAATGAAATGCGACGACGAGAAACTGTTCTCACTTGCAGCAATCTGCCTATGGGTCTGCCTATGGGCGTGAGAAATCCTTACTCTGTCGGCAACTCAGGTAAGGCGCCGATTAGGCGACGCTTCTATTTTTGAATATCTCACGTGGCCCCATTGGTCAAAATAAATACCCCGGCCGCTTCAAACCCAGCGTTGAACACCATGAATTTTGTGGTGTTTTTTCTTCTTTATATGGGATGAAAAGACGCATCTAGCCTCTTCATTTAGGGGACAGGCATTGGGCTTCCTTATCTGACGTTTACATCACAGCATATGTAGTCACACGCAACTAAAGGAACACACGATGTCGCTGAAAGACCAAGGTCTTAATATAAAGATAGGCTCTTATCGAAGCGAATAGAGGAAGCCCTTATAGAGAGAGAGAGAGAGAGAAAGAGAGATCTTTAGACCCGGTATTGGTCAGGACAATTGAGCGTCACAAGAAGGAACCCCTCTTATTAGTAGGCAGCCGCTGGATACCTCAGTGGTTTCCATGCGAGGCATACTACAAAAAAATGAGTGCCTCAATGAACATGCCTCTTTTCAGAAGTCAATTCTCTAGATTTTTGTATCAAGAGCGCTGCTATCCGAGCTCTATAGAAATTGCCTGTATTACCTATCGCAGAGCTTTTTCCAGAAACTCAACCTCTTCTCGAGGCAATTTTCTAAGGATCTAGCACGATGAGTTACCGTTTCTTTTAATGAAATAACACACTCTGTCTCCTCTAGAAGGGCCGTTTAATACCACATCTGATTAAGTGACTGCATCTGCTCTCTTCATTAGAAGTGGTGTGTGTTAGGCAAACTGACGGGTCGGGTTAAGCTATTGAGCTACTGGGTCTTGTTGTGTGCACTGTAGTGTCTCATCTGACTCACTCACGGTCAGTTTCTCGCTTAAAGTTAATCACTGTGGTACTGATAGGTCCCTCAGCTCGCCATTTCAAGCCTCGCCATTGGTCGTAACTGCCGTCATCGTGAGATAGATATCAAGGCAGGTGCTACATTCCCAACTTACATCTACCTATGGATGAACGGGAAGGAGCTTCGGCACAGCTCCCTTCTATATACCTGGCTCGAGGCATGTTTAGTGCAAGTGCGTCACGCGGCCATGACGGGGCACCTGCCTTGCCCACGATAAGCTGGGCACGACGTGCATGAGGTAGCAGTTGCACTTGCCAGCAAGTAGCTCTGAATAGGTGGCCCATGCCTCAACCTGGGGACAAAAAACTGAGGAGGGTGAAAATCTAAACCTCTCAACCCATTCATCAATTCTAAATCTACCAAGAGCCGAGTCGAAATTACCCCCGTGTGTTCGATTTCATTCCGTTTCTATTCTAAGCTGCATCAACGTCCTAAATCAAAGGGCTCAGCTACTACCACTCACCTGCTTCTACGCTCTCCTAGTTAGTTGTGTGCAACTCGCTTCTAACACCCATCATGAAGCTTATTTCCTTTACGGCGTCTATTCTTGCGGGTGCCATGGGTTTCGTACAAGCACTCCCAGCAGCCCACGATCAACAACCCACCCAGCTCATGAATCCTTGTTGCCGAGGACTTGGCATGAATGACAACTCTTGCACTGGCGTCAAATGTCCGGAACCTGCTCTCGCGACCTGGCCCGTTGAAAAATCCAAAACGGAGTTCACGCCAGCTGATGACCAGAAGCCGTGCTGCTGCTGCGACATCTCTATTCCCGCAATATCATGCAGGCTCCGACCTGAGAAAGACGGATGCATGTGCGCCATGGTCGTGTGTCCCCCTGAGAGTCCTACTATTTGGCCAGGATCAACTACGTCTCCCACAGCAACCCCTACTCCTACTCCTACTCCCCACTGACGAATAGAATGAGAAAATAAAGGGTTGCTGTTGGGACAGTTCTGTCTTTCCCACTACTTACAGCATTCTATCGGATGAATCAAATTCGGGAGGGAAAAGATTGGAGTTCTCCACAGAGAACATTACACATTCGCACAACACAGGCAGCCAAACTTCAGCGTGAGGTGAAATGGTTTGCCTCCAAAGTGTTCAGAAGGAATTCATAAATCCAGTGCCGGGGAAATGATGGGGTCGGTCGAAGAGAAATGGTATTTGGAAGAGAAAAATAAGGTTTTGTACTCAGCTCAAAGCCGAAGCATGAGATCCGATGGCAGGTAACAGGTCGGCCTAAGTAACAAGTGACAACCATCTATGAGGGTCGTAGTAGGAAGTGATAATACAGAACCACCTCCATTTACTCAGCTAGGATTTTTTTAAGCTCAATCACGGCATAATCATTTCCTTGGTGAGGTCGGAAGGTACGCGATAGAAGAAGTTCAAGGTGGAAGCGTCAGGGTAATCGTTGATATTATTTCTGCCGGATTTGTACACTCGTCTACTACAGGTTTAACAGGGCCATACGTACGTTTAAGGATATATGACGGGGTCTTCCACCAATCCGTGCCCGATGGGTGGATGACTGACCCTTGTTCATGGAATAACATTTTGAAGAGTGGTATTTTGTAGATCCGGGAGCTCATACCGGATCAGGAACTAGACTCACTAGACCCTGCCGGTCTCCAAATCCATCTACTGTAGCTGTAGAAATTTGTAATCATTCATGACTCAGGAGTGTGCGTAATCACGCGTTGAGAGGAATGATAATAGGGCTGCGTTGCCTGTCGCCCACCTCCCACCTCTGTGCATGAACGGGCTAATTCCGCATTTCCGTGATGGGGATTTACGGCTGTCGGGTACATAAGCTCGCTGTCTGGCAACGGGAGTCTATGTTGTCAAGATATTCGCGTTGGCATCTCAGTCTGGGGCTACGCGCAGCCAAAATCCAGGGATGGGATACGTAGCACCTTTGGTCTGTTACAACCGAGCCGTTGGCGTGAAGGATTGACCACCGTGTAATGGCCTGTGTCTTCACCATCCCGGAGGCTTGCGCTAGGAAGGCGCTGGGGATGGCTGACTTATTAGTGGAAAATAGGTGGGCTGGTGGTGGGAAGCCCCGGGAACTGCGCCAAGTCCGATAGGGAGCAAAGCCCGCTGGCGTCCTTTTCAGTGACCTTCTCCCCCCACGACGCGAATTGATACATCCGTCAAACACGGATCTCGTCCCTCTCACCTGTCCTCAGCGACTGCCGGCCAACATGCGGCTGCGTGAGTGAGACCCCCTAACATCAACCCAGCACCAGTACAACATCAGCAGGCAGGTGACAGATGTTGCAGACGTTTTGACGATACCGTACTGCCGTCTGCGACATATCACATCGGCTGAGCGGGTCGCCCGTGTCCCGCAGCCGTGATTGACGCACCCCGAAACGAGGGTCCGTTACACAGAACCTGACTGATGTCGACCACCCGGCCTGTCTCTCCATGGATCACCACCACCACTCGCCTCCAACACCTGAGTTGGCATCGGCGTCGGGGTCGGGGTCAGGCTCCGGCTCAGGGCGGCAGCATCTCTCTTCCGTCCCGCACCATCCTACCACACGCTCGCTAGCAACAGATTCAGCAACACTGGATCCTCCTCTTCCACTACCCAAGCGTAGACGGACAGCATCTCAAACGTCTTCTCGCTGCTGTCGTACTTGCAGGCTACGCAAGGTAAGCCCTTCTTATGAAGTCTTTTTGTTTGTCTTCCTGACAGCACATTTGAGACTGCCTACCCCGTCATTCCGTCATTCCGTGTGAGAGACATCGACGCTCGTCCCACTGTAGATACCAACCACAGCGGGACTATGACTTGACCTTATATCCCAAACACCTGTGATTCCTGTCTGATACGAACACATGACTTACTCAACATGTCGATAGGTGAAATGCAGCGGCAACCCGGGCACTGGGGAGTCGTGTAGCAATTGCGGAAGACTTGAATTGGCATGCCCTTTCGCTGAGAAGCAGCAAGAATCGCAAGAATCCATCCAGACTCCACCAGGTAGGTGGCAGCAAACCCAGACCCGTGTTGAGCGTTGGAGTGAATACACGCGCTATACTCCGTCTCTCCCAAGGCGATCAGACGTTGTATCCAGGTGAGTGTCGATGCTAATATTGACTTAGAGGACAAGATTTCGAGGATAAAGCCTTCGCACAGTCATACTGAGGCGGGCACTCTTCGGAAGAGGGCTCAGAGAGCCTGCAGCCAATGCCATTCGCAAAAGACCAAGTGCTCTGGCGATCTGCCTAGGTGTAAGCGATGTGAAGCTGGCGATCTCAAGTGTGAATACACTCCCGCCAAGCGGCGATTTGCAAATGTCCGCCTTCAGTCAGAATCGAAGAGCGAGGAGCCGCCAACGCCAACGACCGTTGCGGCAAGTCCCCCCAGCCCTTCATCAGCTTCCAAAAAGGAAAGGAGTCCCTTTCTGAGCCCACGAGGGAAGGACGGCAAGCCTAGCGAATACTTTCCGCTGATGATCGACACCTCGCATCTAAGCTCCCAGTATGATTGATCATTTGCCTTGCTCCCCACTGTCTTCTCTGCTAACCGCTCTCTCAGGGAACTACTCACACGCAAGCATATCATCCTCCGCCATCTAGAGGCATACTTCGAGCATATCTACTGGCTGCCATGCATGGGCTACTTTCACCCCGAAACCGCCCGCCGGCAAGTTCACGTAAGTTATATTCCCGACAGTGGGCTTCAACCTCACTGATATCGATATCTAACCATGACACAGGAGGGCACATTTGACGCACCCACCGCAGCAGCTGTGTGTGCCATTGCAAGCTTCTTCGTCAACCCCGGCGAAGGGGCCAAAGAGTTCAGCCTGAAGTGCCTGGATGAGGTGGAATTCTTCTTCTTCCGGAACATTCATAAATTTTCCGAGGCTGTACTCATCCCGTACTCTCTCATTATATCGTTTAATTTCCTCAACGGCTCGTTTGCCAAAGTCTGGCAAACGCTTGGTATTGCCATTCGTTTGGTCACCGGCATGCAGCTAAATTGGGACTACGCCATGCAGCATCGGTCCTTTCAAGATCAGGAGCGATTGCGGCGGGTCGCCTGGCAGTTTTTCGTCTTGGATCGCTTGCTGGCTGGCGGCTACGAGGAGTATATTTCATGCCGGACTGAGATAATGAAGATCCGCCTTCCATGCCAGGAAGAGGCGTTCTGGGAGAACAAACCCATAACCGCCGAGAGACTCCATGAGAAACCGGCAAGCTGCAAAGGGATCGGCCTCCATGGACTGAATGTCCGCCTTGCCGACATCAACCATAGGATTCAATCGTAAGCTTTTGGCTCTTTGCCACATCCCTTCTTGCTAAGCCGGAATGATATCTTGCTAACTTTAACAGGTGGTCAAAAAGGCTCACGCAGCGGGTTTCTCTCGAGCCTTCCAAGGTAATGGAGGATATCAACAACTTCCAGAACGAACTTACATGGTTCCATGCCTCTATCCCCAACGATATCAGATTAAGTGATCAAAGCCTCTCAAAGTTCATGGCGTCTTCTGAGCGAGTTGGTTATGTTTATTTCCATACCCATTTATCAGTTGGCCACATTGACTTGTATCGTTTTGCCCTGCCAGGCATTCTGGATTCAACGAAGAACGATATTCTCCGCCGTCTGCCTCCGGATTTCGTTCAGAGGGCCAGAAAACAAGTCGTTGCTCACGCTCTGTGCACGGGTCGCTTCTGTGTTGCTATACAGGACGAAATGGATCGGCTAGCAAAGTCTGGCATTACTGGTTTCGCTGGTGATGCCACCATTGCTCACATGTCAACACAATCCCTTCGTGTCTTCCTAGTCGCCATACAACATGAAATCTACGACGATTTGACAGAAGGCACAACAGCGCCATTATGGCGCTTTCAACAGCCAGATGAGACGTATATTCGATCACTCATCACCAACGGCCTCTTCCGTGTGTCTGAACCATGGTGCCCAGTTCTGATAGCATGCCAGCAGTCTGTACGTATAGATACGATGTGTTTCTTCTTCGTATGTCAGCTAACTAGTATACAGCACGCCAGTAACAAAGCCATGTTCGAAGAGTTCGAGAGAACCAGGAGATTTACTGACGCAAAGGATGCGTACCGTAATAAGCTCAAAGCTACCGACGGCTCGGCTCGCCTCCCAGGGCCGCATTACATTCTCGAGAATGCCAATCACGGTGTCGCCGAGCAAGATCAACGTGCCCGAGCATCTGAAGCAGCAGCCGCCAAACGCTGGTTTAACGAGCCAAAACAACAGACAGAGCCAATGGCCTATCCACCAGCCGATCTTGATTTTGACATGGAATATGGGCCCCCGGGTATCCCCATGATGCTTGCCGTTGCCAGGAATCCGGACACGGGGCGAAGCGACAACAATGTGAACTTCCTGTACGACGGTGACCGGGAGGCCACAGCCCTTCTGCAAGACAAGGTCTGGCTCAATGGTGGGATCATTGCACCTGACAGCGGCCAGATGGCTTACGTTGCAACTCACGCCGGAGTCCCTTTCATGCAGATAGGCTCAACAGATCCAAATATGATGTTTCCGCCACCGCAGCCTCCCCCTCCCCCGCCATCAACCTTGTCTCATCCAACTACGACGGCACCATTCGTTCCTACCCAGGCTGGTATATATATGGACACCTGGGCCGCGCCGTCATACGAAAATCTTCACTCCGCTCCGTACATGCGACAACCCAACTTCAACTAACGAAATGCAAACGGAGGCAGCGATTTATTATACCTTTTTTTAATTTATTCGACCTCTATCAAAAACGCACCGGCCTCGCAACAGAGGCTCGTAGATTTGACAAATGATTGCAAAATCGCTTCCATTATGATATTTTGTATCGATTTGGATAACTGATATCCTTTTGTTCATCATGAAAATACGAAATTAGCAAATATATATTCCTAAATACATACATGACTTCCAGTCGCGATTCAATGCCAAATGATGGAACATCTTCTCCTCTAGGTCCTGAACGAGCATCGGCAATGAATGCCCTCCTCCCACTCCACAAGAACGAAATGGGGTCTCCTCGGCAATTTCCTTGATTGCTACAGGGGTTTTGCGTTTCGCGGTATTGTAGCACTAGGATAGCCGGTTCGTATGGTTTCCATATGAGATTCCAGTCGCGATTCGAAATAATCGATGGATCGAGCGAGTGCAGAGAGCAGGAATCACAGAGCGTGGGTGATCAACCCGTCGTGCTCTGGAAAGCGGTTACCAGATAGGACACTCTTTTGAGGAAATTTCGTACCCACGCCATCTTCCGCGTGGATTGCACTATTATGTCTGCACGCTCAAACCCCTGCTTTCAAAGTGATTGCGAGGTCCTGGACCGGCCCAGGGACAGGCTCAACCAACCTCCCGGAGGACAGCATCAGTAGGGGAACGCCATCCCTTTTATCCAGCTGGACGGTGTTGCTTCCAAACTTCCCCAGTCTAAAGTGTGCAGGTATTATACGGATTAAAACTAACAGTAGCCAAGGAAAATATACGCACGTGTATGTGTGTGCTATGTGCATTCAAATCCCCGGTCAATCAGGGCAATTTGCCACGGTCTAGAATCAAGACGGGCACCTATTTGATTAGTGTTCCTTTGTCCTAGTACTGACAAGGGGAAACAAGATAACAAAGCCGCTTTCATGTCAAAGACATGCCTGCCCTGCTCTGCGCTATGGCCAAGAAGAATTAGTAGGGATCGTGGAGGATTCATTTGCCACGAGGTAAACATTCTCGGCCCTGGCAAACCAAACGAGGCAGGGACAAAGGCTTTCAACGCGAGTACGAAGATTGTAAAGTCATAAAAATCATAAGAGTGCACTAATAAATTATACACTATAAAATATACAGCAATGTCACTTAGGGCGTCGTCCGGTGAGGGACGAGTAACAAAGATGCCAATATACCTTTTTTGATCCTGCCGCCCCCAATTGCTCCCGCCGAACGGGAACTACTAATATCCTCGCTCCCCCAATCCGGGTAGATGAGCCTTGACAGAGCGACCAACAGTCGAGGGAGGGTTGGGACGACACAAGATCTAGCTATCCGATAGTCAGATGGCGAGTAGTAAAGTGATAAACCACGCTAGTTGTCCGTGTCATGAGAAGATCCAAATGGAAGAATGATAATAAACCCCAGCGCTGATAAAGCGGCCTTGTAGGAAAAGGTTGAGAAACCCTACACAAGCCAATAAAAGTTCTATGCCATAAAAGAATTGAAGATCCAGTCCTCTGGAGAAAAGAGGAATACGCCACAAGCGGGTTTCGCCAACGGTAGAGCCTGTGGGGATCCGGGAGAAGAAGAATAAAGGGTATGTCGAAGAATTGAAGAATGTCGACGAGACGTTCATACTATTCACATTATTGGAATTGGGTACGGTCCTTCTCCTTAAGGCCGCCAATTTGATCCATATCAACCGAGTAGAAGCCGTTCTTGTCATCCTTCTGATAAGGAGGCAGCTGCTCCTCGGTCATAGGCTCAAGGCCGACGGTGGCATTCTCACCAACACGGACGACGAGAATGCGAGGGCCCCTCAGCTGACCCTTCTCGTCAACCTCGTCAGGAACAGTGATGTGGATCTCTGGGACGTTGTCAGGGGAGTTGGGTGGCGAGTTGGGGTTGGCGAGCATTGGGTTGCTGTCGCGTCGAATGAGAATGGTGCTGGAACGGCCATTGTGCTTGGTCTCGATGGTGAGACCGTTGAGGTTTGTGGTGCTTTCGTACATGCCAAGCTTGGCCTCTTGGTAGTCGTTGAGGGCATCTTCACGCATGCGATGCAGGTTCCTTTGACGACGACGGTAGGTAATGAATGCGGTGACGAGGCCGAGGAAGAGAGCGCACAGGCCAAGCACGATGAGGAGGATGGTAGTCTTGTGGTCGGGTGCACTCTCAGAGTCCCGGGTCATGATGGCTCGAGCCAGGTTCTGGATGTGGGAGCCAGCCTCCAAGGAGCTCGAGATGTAGGGAGAGGGCGCCATGACGAGCGATTATGTTGCGAGCAAATATGTTCACGGGTAATATAAATGAGGGTATAGTGATCTTTTCTAATATCCATGGCTTGGTCAGCGCTCCATGATCTCACGCGTAGTAGTGTCTGTGTGGTGGGTGTCGAATGCGATATTCAATGTGTAGGGAAGAGTTCAGCCTCTTCGTTTCAATTGCGCTCCTGAGTGATGCCATCGCATTCCTTCATGGGGTCGGCAGCGCTGGTCGAGCCCATTGACGCCCGACTCAGTCCCGAGACAATTCCATGCCACTGCAAGGTTCGGGTGGCCAGAAATAGCCGCAGGAATTCATTCCAGAAGCGACGACAAATCAACAGCTCAAGGGGGGACGGGATAAAGCGATAGTATGGGGAGGGAAGTAATGGAGGCGACGGATTGACATACATGGTAAGAAACAGAAACGTCAATAAATCATCAGAGTGTCTTGTTAACACTGTTGGTACGAGTCACCGCAAGGGAAGCCGAGGGCGTATTGGCAATGAAGATCGTTAAAAAGGAGTGTTGAGAATGAGCAGACGGATTATTGCTGTTTCGTTTGTTTCCGAGGGCAGGAACAATGGTCGGTATTGCGAGGGAGAGTGGTAGGGGAGGCGAGGGAAGGACTGGACGGGCCACAGCTGAAAGAATGAAGCTGGTGATCCTAGGGAGTCGTAAAGAGCGGGATGAAGAAGTAGATGAGGCCTGAAACGCAAGAGCGTCTCTGTTGACAGGATGCCTATGGGAGTCGGAGGTGGATGAGAAGAGAGGATGGGGAGAACTGGAATGGAAACAGGCACACGGCCATATTAGACTATGGGCCTGACTAGAGAATCGGCACAGCCAGACGCCAGACCCGGCCGGACCTCCCCACCCCTACTACCACCAAGGCCGCATGGAGCACGCTTACGGGCATCAGGCGACAGCGCTGTTGGCCCTGTTGGGGGGGCCTGTTGGCTTCTGGGGAGCAGGGCGGCCTTACTGCTTGGGGCGGGTGCGCACTGTGACGCACGCTGCAGACAGTGGCTTGAGTGGGCGCTGTGGACGGCCCAGGGTTGGGATTTGAAATGAGGCACATGAGCGCTTGGATCATGGCCGCCTGCCATTGGCCGAGCTGCAGGTACGGACCCAATGGGGGAGCTCGCTGCTCGTGCACGTCGACCGTCTCCAAACGACCATGTCTGCACTAAAAGACCTCAGACTGGGGGGTGAGGCATCATGATTGGCCTCGTCGGCCACGGCCCCTGATCATGCCCCTGCCAAGTCTCGCGATCCTTTCTGCTTCGGTGGAGCCGCCGACAGTCAAAGTCTCTCGTCCTCATTTCCATCTTGCCAGGGGCTTGGAGAAACCGCCATCATTACGGCGACAGTGTGAATTGATTTTTTTTGTGACTATGGCCATGATAGGCGCCGTTCCTGCAGATCCAATTATCACCAGAGCAGAGGCCTGCTTGCCGGCGCCTGTCCCCCGACTGCTCGGTTCAGCCCCGTGGCCGTTCTCCTATCCAGGCTGGCCTCCTCCCCTGGAGATGGCCTCCCCTCTCCCCTCGACTCTCCCTCTTTCCTATTCCAACCTAACGTGACGATGGGTTGTATCACGTATGCATGTGTAGTATGCCTCCTCTTCTGTGATATGGACCCTGTGGCAGGCCGCGTGCGGCATAGCCTCGCCTGCTTGTGGACAGGGAATGCAACAGTCGTTGAAAAGTGGGCGAGTGGATGTTCTGTAGTAATATGCAAGGCACGGCCAATCCCATCACCCAACCGTTGTCGTATTTTTGGTAGGTAAGGATCAATTACCTACATCGACGGGTATAGTTATAGCAATTCGCTCCGCGCAGGTGGTTCATCGCCTTTCTGGATCGGAAGTGAGTAATTCTTGCATGCATCTCACCACTTCTAAACCCAGAAGCGACTGCTATTTATTTCTGCTTCGTATATTGTATTGACTTGATACGCTTTCGTTATTTACGTCGGCTCTTACTCATTAATGCTTCGACTGAGAGAGAGCAAGCGGGGAGAGACACGTGGCTCAGTCCGTTTGGCATTGGAGATGGGGCACACCTGACCAGGGAAAACTACTAATTCATCAGAATGATTTCAGCCCCCATGTGCTGCGCTTCACTAGGCCTTCTGGTAATACATGCCGCTTGACGTACCTTTTTGAAGTCGTACGCAAACACTCCGTGTCGCCCGTATGGTGTCAAGTGGGTGACACAGGAAATGGCACGCCCAAATGAAGACCCAAATAACCACCTAAATGTCTAAATAAGTAGCTAATTCTAAACAAAAATTTAACTTAATGATATTTACATCTTGATATTCTTTTCCTTCATACTTATCTTAGTAATTTCATAGCTAGCTACCAAAGATAGTAGGTCAGGCATCTGTTATGGGCGTACTTGGATGTGTCATTTCCTCCGTCACCCACTTGGGTGTGTCTGGGCGAATGTCGTGCGACCAGAGACAACCCGCAGGCTCAAACATATGCAGTAGTCCCATACATCACATGTTGATCAGCCTGTATCAAAAATGTGTGAGCATGGACGCTGCACGACATGGCAAAGCGTGCGCACCTCCGTAGAGGCTTGGCTCTGATTCTTGGGAGAGGCTGGCACCGACGTCGTGACAGCCTCCGTCTTCTTGTATACACGCGTAATGGATTGGATACAGAAGGACGAGCCGATCCCTCAGATCAATCAAAAAGCATACTCAATGCTG